GTGGGAGAGGGAGAAGCAGGCTTCCCACTGAGTAGGGAGCCCGATGTGGGGCTCGATCCCAGGACCCTGGGATCATGACCTGAGCCGAAGGCAGAAGCCTGACGACTGAGCCACCCAGGCGCCCCTTAAATTCTTTTAAAAAATATATTGTCCCTGTCTGTAACAATATGCTCATAAAGGGGAAAAAAACAACTCAAAGAGAACTTACACGCAAGACCCCATAATACTATAAGAGATAATCATTGCAAACATTTTGCTGTCCCTACCATGTTTATGTATTTTTTTTTTTTAACAAGTGAAACCATACAGTTTTATTTTCAGTATCATGAGCACATTTCTGTTCGTTCATTCAAAAACGTATTTCTTGGTCATCTTGTCTACTATACACTAAGCACAAAACAGACAAAAGTCCTTGCCCGCACGGAGCTTTGTATCAGCTGTGCCACAGTCCAGGGCACATTATTATCATCTTCCTAGTAATAGGCATTCAAGCTGCTTGTTTTCTGTTGTTCTTGTTAGAAACAGCACTGACAATGAAGCTTACCTACATGATTCCCTTTTTAAAAAAGATTTCTTTAGAAAGAGAGAGAGGGCGAACAGGAGAGGGGCAGAGGGAGAGAATCCTCAAGCAGACTCCCTGCCGAGCATGGCGGAGCCCGATGTGGGGCTTGATCCCAGGGCCCTGACATCATGACCCGAGCCGAAATCAAGAGGAGGCTGTTTAGCTGACTGAGCCACCCAGATGCTCCACCTACATGATTTCTTTATCCAGAAGTAGAAATGTTGGGTCAGAAGGTTTCTACATTTTGAAGAATATATTCCTGCTCTTTAAAATAATTTCTTTAGCATCTATGAAAAGAACTCCTCTGGAATGTGTACGTATGTGTTACGGGAGGTTGTCAACTGACGTTTGGTAAACATTGTACACACTCACCAGCATCTGACAAGCAGTAGACTTTTCCTCCAGTCCTGCAGTTTTAATACCAAAACTTTGCTGATCCCCAAGGTTCACAAACTCCCAACCATCATCATCACTCATATTCTCCATGTCTTGGGCTATTAACAGGAAAGAAAACAAATTTATGTTAAAAATAATTACAGAGAAGAACTTTACAACTGCTGTATCTTTATGAAGATACCTACTATCTAAAAGGGCTACTTCAGGCTTAATCGAAGCAGTCTTCATTAAAGGCCCCATAACCACTGGAAGGTACTGCTGAAATTCTTTTCCAAGAATTTTGCACATTCTGGCCCATGCTGAGATCATGTAAGAGATCTGGGGGGGAAAATTAAAATTGATTTTAAAACAATGGATAAAAAGAGATCACAAAGAAAGCCATTTCCCTATTTCATAAAAACAATGTTTTATTTTACATTCACCCTCTTTAAGAGGTAAGTACAGTTTCTAAGGTCATATACTTAAAACGTTCAGAAACAACAAAATCATTGTGAACCTTTACCTTCTGATACAGACAGCAGGTGAGACAAAAGAGAAAGACCAGGACTATGTCTTATTGTTTCTTACTTTCAAGAAGCAATACATAGTTTTTCTCTAATAGCATCTGGACCACATAAATAAAACCCAGTTAACCATAGCAACTCCTAGGCACTAATTTTTTGAAGATAGGAACCTATTTCATCTGACCGTATCCCTACTGCCTTGCATTCCATTCGTTAAACATTTATTAACACCCAAGAAACAAAACATCCCTTTCTCGTAGCTGTTTTAATTTTCTAAGCGGCTGCGTATGCTGAAGACACCTCTTCTACTGTGGTCACGTACTTAGTCACCTGCAAATTCCTACAGAAAATCTAGTTTGTAATTCATCATCCCGGTAACCCAGAAAGTGGTTTTTTACTACTCCCCAACATATCTATGTCACATATACTGATGCAAATGACCCACTCCTACTCTAAAACCAAACCAAACCAAACCAATTTTAAATTTACGGGAAATAATTACAGCGTGGCTGTATGAAGTCAAAATGTGACTCAACAGTTAGAGTGCCTGTTACACGTCAGGCACAGTGACTACAACTGGGATTACGACACACACGTACAATTTACAACACGGTGCCATAAGGACCCACTTTCGAGACTTATACCAGACGTGAAATATGAGCAGGAAAGAGGCCGAGTGGGGGGCAGGTTCTAAGTGAAACGAATGTTTGTTCGCAGGCAGAAAGAGAAAAGCAGAGCATGTTCTAAGATTGTTAGGTTTCTGTATTTCTATGACAGGGGAAGGAAGTCATGTGGCACTGAGAAGGCTGGGAGACATCCAAATGGAGATGTCTAGTAAGTTGTTGGATAAATGAACCTTTAATTCAGAGAAAGACCTGGAAGTCACAGCATACAGAGGGAAACTGAAGCCACGGTGTAGATGACACTGCTCAGGAGATAAGAGGGCCCAGGACAGAACCCTAAGAGCACCAAAAATAAATTGAGAGTCAGGGCAGAGGGGGCAGACTGAGAAAAAGGTGGGAGGAGAAGTGAAGGAAAACCAGTGAAGACGGTCTCTGACACCAGGGGTTATCTTAAGAAGCCTATTACTGTTTCTTTTTTGAGTACATTAACCCTGCACTAGCTACAACTCCCAAATGGATCAAGGTGAATGTGTGCAAGCTGCTTTACCTGAGGATCATCATCTTCCATATCGCTGAAGTCTGTCTGGGTCTTCAATAAGAGCTGCATCACATCTGATGCATCCTGCATGAACTAGAAGAAAATATTTGGGAAAATCAACACTTGTGGTACTTGTGGCTACCAGATCAGAGAGGTGCTTCTTGCTACCCAACTTTGTTTCTTGTATAGTAAAAAAACTTTCCAAAAGAAAATCTATTACATTTCCCACATGGATCATAACCCCTCAGACAAAAATTACACTGACAAATTTTCATCTATATATTGCGCAGACTTAGTGCTCTTTCTAGAAAAATATATTCTCCAGTAAAGGTCAGGGTGAACTGCGGAATAGAGGTATTTCTAATAACATCAAGTTTTGGTCTATGGTTTATGCATTTCCAGCAGTAAAAAGATAATCCGAATCCAGAAATAAAATTTTGGATTGCTCCCTAGAACCATATGATTTTCATTTAATTCTGTAGTTCTGGCAATCTCCACTGTGTAAACAGGCAGTGTTTCAAAGACAGTTTGAAGGCCAGATACAGAGAATATGGGACATAAATTATTGGTTAGGTTCTCAGTATCCCACAGAAAGCAATTTATAGGGTAAGTTAATACTGATGCTGGTTTTGGAGAAACCCACCAGAGAGGTTCTAATGTTGATAGTTCTGAGAATTGGAACCTGAGGGGTCAGTGACAGAGGAACTTCTTTGGATCAGCTTTGACAACTCTGAGATGCTGGCAGGGGAAGAAAAATACATTGGCGAATGGTCCTTGCTAATTATTTTCTGAAGAGCTACATGCATGTAGGATTTCTCTCTTGGGACACCTGATGCTTCTGGATTAACAAGAAAGCAAGTGGAATGTACATGTTAAAATGGATGAAACTAAACATATGGTATGGATCTTGAACTCCACATGCCTCCCAGGAGATAGATTGTACATGGGGTAGGAAAAGGAGGAAGTTTCAAGACCATAATTAAGAAAAAGCCTTAATGTTAACACTGATAAAATTAATTTATATACAAAGTAGGAGTGAAAGGAGAGTAAGATGATGGGAAAAAAATCAAACATCCAGAAAACCGTTTATCCGAAGAAAAAGCCCTCTAGTACCCTCAGTGCCTCCACAGCCAAATTACTTACAGTAAATTCAACCTTCGAAAAATCACTTACTTTTTCCTTCCCAACGGCCAGACCAATGAGGCTGATGCACTCAATAGTTTTTCCTCTGAGAAGTCTGAGTTCCTTTTGAACTGCATTCTCGACAATGTGCTTTAGTGATGGCATAAATAAATCATAGTAGGGGACAAATTTTTCCTCTGCAGTATCTGCAACTGATGCGATAGATGTCACAACTTGTTCCAACACTAACTTGGTGCCTTTCTGAATCAACTAGGAGAAGGAAGACACACAAATTAAGTCGTGGAAATGAGAAACTGGAAGAAACACCCCCTGCGCGTTCTCAAACGCTTCTCTGCAACAGCAAGCTGAGACCACCGTCCAGCAGCCAGAGTGCAGAGCGCAGGTTCCAGAGCAGATGAAAGGACCCCTGTGGAACTACTGAGGGTCTCCTCGCTCCCCTGTTGACGCAGCGCTCCTTTCTCATGTCTGCTTCATCTCCGAGCAGCTCGTGCTCAAGCACGAATCTGATTCCTCTTCCAATTTTTGTATCCCCAGCTTAGTGCCTGTGTGTCTTAGTCCTCCCACTACCTTACTGTACACTTGGTGCTGTGTGGGCACGTGTGGGAAGAATTCCCTTTGTCTTCTAACCTGCCTCTCCCCGGAAGGTCCCACCAGCAGCACCATCGGTGCCAGAGCCCTCTCACAAATGGTCCCACTGTCTGGTGAGACTGATGAGCTCACACTGCTCCTACACCAAAGACCGGTGGTGTTCTCTGACCTGGCCGGTAACAAGCAGTGGGTATTTGCAGCTGGGCTCACGCTGTCACCTGGTAATACTATTTTATAATCCCTGTGGCTTCATATGAATACTTGGCCCAGCGAGTACTCCAGATTTTTTTCATTCCGCTCATCAACTCCAGCCACTCTCCACAGAGCTCTTCAACCTGGACTACCACTTCCTCCGCCCCTCTCAGAGGGTACCCTACTACCTTCTGCATCTGCTCCACATTTCAGGTCTTGAGCCTACCTCTGATCTCAGAGGAATGCCGTTCTTCCTCGGCTACCCTCTCTTTGTACAGCTCTTGACCACATATCTTATCCTCTTCCCCATCCCATCTTAGCAATTCCTTCTTTTAGTCTTTAAAAATCTGACATGTTGGCCCATCTGGGGTTAGGGGATGCAACAGAAACTTTCTTTACACTTCAACCCTCTACCCAAACCTACTTGTAAAGTCACATTTGATCCATCTATTCCTGAATAACCAACTCATCTGCCTTCAACTTGGGTCTACTTCTTTTGTCTTCAGATTAACTCAAGTTCCTTTTTCATGTTCTCAGTCTGCTGTCATCTGACACTGAACACCCATCCTGTTTCAAACCCCTTTCTTTGCCTTCTGAGATACTGTATCTGTCTTCTACCCTGTTCTCCTTTAGAACAGGGCTAGGCAAACTGTCACTGGTTCACAATGAATTAATGTACAAGAACTGAGATTCTAGGGGTGCCTGGGTGGCTCAGTTGATTGAGTGTCTGACTCCTGGTTTTGGCTCAAGTCACGATCTCAGGGTCCTGGGATGGAGCCCAGCGTTGGGCTCCGCACTCAGTGGAGAGTCTGCTTGAGATTTTCTCTCTCCTTCTGCCCCTCCCCCATCTCAAATAAATCTTAAAAAAAAAAAAAGAAAAGAAAAAGAACCGAGTTTCTAATATCAGGCTTTACTTTTACAGCACCTTGACAGTAACTTTATGACTGTTAAATATAATAGCTAAAAAAAGGCTTTTATTTGTCCTTTTTATTCCTGTCATTTTTACAGCATTTTCATTGTATTTGACAACAAACTAAGCCTAAATCTTTACCTTTCTCACCTGCAACCTCTTTCTCACGCACTGCTGTACTAAACATCGTTCAGCCCATAGTTTTTAGGCTGCACCTCTTATTTAAGCTATAACTATAAACTTTCTTCTATCTGGATAGCCAGGCCTTGTTTGAAATACAACATATTTAAAGCAAAAAAGGTATTTTTTCTCATCTCTTTACTTCGGTCATCCAGGTGAGAAGAATAGTCAACATTTTTTACTACTTCTTTTTAAATTCAAACCAGCAGAAAGGAGAAATGACTTTTAGAATCCTCTTCCCCAATTTCCACCTAAGCTCTCTGAGCAATAATCTTCTGAGTCTTGACTTAAATCTTCTCCCTTTTTGTTTACGCCTCACAATGCTACCATGCTAATTTCCTGCAATCACATTATCATGATTTCTTGCAGCAGTTAAGAACAAAATGGTTCTTCCAATTTACATAAATCAGAATTCAAAATAATTGCCTTGATTTCAAGGCACTTCAAATACTGATTTTACCTAACCTTTAGGCTCTATCATCTTCCCCAATTCCAATATTGGCCTATTCTCTCATCAAGACTGAATTACTTCAAATAGCTGAACCTAACTTTCTATTCTTTATGGCCATGCCGAAAAGTTTCTCTTTCTCCAGGTCTTACCCAACAAATTAACCTACGTTAATCTCTAGATAAGGAGCTGGAAGACCTAGAAACTTACCTCCTGAAGCTTAAGTACCATGATGGAATGCAGATGTTTCACCAGATTGTCTAAATATGGGATAAGTAGTGATTTGGGACAGTCCTCAGTGAAGTTAATAAGAGCGGCAGCGGCGTGGGCCTGCACTCGCTGATTGCCTTGGTCTTCCATTGTCTGCAGCAGGGCTGCAATCACCTGTGAAATGAAACAGATAAGCACACATTTTGAAATGCCACATTTCAAAGTATACACACGAAAGGCCACCCCTCTTCTTAAAAGTCTGATTTGAGTGTTTGGGGCCTTGTTACTTACCTTCTCATGAAATTTCTTTTGGAAACCAGGTGCAAAATCTGTAGCCATCTGTCCCACGGCATTACAGGCTGCATACCTTACTCTTGGATGCTGGAATAGGTTACTTTGTATAAGTAAAGGCAATGGGTTCCCATGTGAAACTATGGTAATAACTATTAGTCAGATATTTACTGGTACTTACAGGATCCTGAAGAAAAAGCAAAACAAAATTTACTATCTCATTTAAAATTCCTTCCATTTGCTGGTGGCATCCTTCACCAATGGCAGATAAGGCCATTAATCCTGCATGCCGGTATTTCCAGTCAGCTACAGAAAATAATTACACATGAAAGAAGAGCAATTAACCAGTACAAACATGCACTCTGGTAGTCAGAAGCATAAAACAAAGTTTTCTTTATTTGGAAAAGACTATCAAAATATTTTTATACACTAATTAGAAAAATGAACAGAAAAAAGTGCCTGACAGGGACTATTTCATTAAAGTGACGACGGTTACATTACATGAGCATTTTTATTCTAAAAGTAGTTAAAAGGCAATATGGAAGCAAAGAGCTTATTAGTATTTATACCAACTACTGGAAATAAGGCTTTCCCCCTAAGATTCACCGTAAGCAACAAATATCTGGATTTTGTGTCACACACTGCTATTTACTGAATAAAGATTCACTGATCTCCATCCACAGTCACATTTTATTATTTTATTTATTTAAAGCAATCTCCACACCCAACATGGGGCTTGAACTCATAACCCCAAGATCAAGAGTTGCATGCTCTACTGGCTGAGCCAGCCAGGTGCCCCAGTCACACTTCTTTAAAGAGAAAAAAAAAAAAGCCATGGAGGAAAGATGCTTTTAAAGAATTTTTATTTAACAATATGATAAATGACGATAGTTGAACTTTATTTGTATTCTATTACTAAAGGCTATGTGATTTTAGACTAATAGAATATTAGCTAAGCAATATTTATTTTACTGAACCTTCCCATCATATTCTAACATATAATTCCCTCTCATTTCTAAATATTATTATTTACCACATTATTGTTCCCTCTAAGGTGTTTCACCTAACTTGTGGCACGAAACAAGAGATATATAAATATAGAAAGCTAGTATCTGTGTAAAGCAATAGTTCTCAAAGTGGGGCCCAAGAACCCTGGGATTCTCCGAATCAAAATTATTCGCCCGATAATATTCTTTCACTCTCATTCTGAGGCTCCAGTGGAGTACTCCAAGGATTACAACACGTGTAAAATCCGAGACTGAATGAAGAAGCAGAAATAGGAGCTCAGCTAAGATATCTAAAAAAATGCGTAAGACATTCTTCTCACTAAACATGTTTTTGTTTTGGAGGAGTCATTCTTCATGAAAAATGTTATTTTTGTTAATGTTTAATGGGTTTATTATTGTTATATTTAAGTGCATATTTTAAATGTTTGTTTTCATTTCTAATGGTATAAACATTAATATAACCCACATAAACAAAAGCACTCTGGGGTCTTCAGTAGTTTTAAGAGTGTAAAGGGGTCTTGAGAACAGAATGTTTGAGAACCACTGGCATAAGGGTTAAGTTGTAGGAAAGGCTGAACTTAATTGTTCACTTTGGGGAGTCCAAAACCCACATAAAGATGAACTCTGTTGTGACTAATTCTACTTGAAAGAATTTCTGAAAAATTTCTAAATTTGCTGTTAATTATTAAAACCTTACTAAAATATTTACTTCTAATGTGTTTCATTTACTCAATAGACCAGTAAGCCAAAAATTTTCAACTGAGGAATAATGATCCTAGGAAACCGGTAAATAAGATGCTCATCTCGGGCGCCTGGGTGGCTCAGTCGTTAAGCGTCTGCTTTCGGCTCAGGTCATGGTCCCAGGGTCCTGGGATCGAGTCCCACATCGGGCTCCCTGCTCGGCGGGAATCCTGCTTCTCCCTCTCCCACTCCCCCTGCTTCTGTTCCTGCTCTCACTATCTCTCTCTCTGTCAAATAAATAAATAAAATCTTTAAAAAAAAAAAAAATGCTCATCTCTGCACACTGAATTTACTAATTTAAAGAAGAGATGCAATAAATACTAAAGATGTTCATATTTGGTTCAGGGAATAAAAAAAAGATATGCCTACATAACTCCCAACAGGCAGAGTTCCTGAAAGTATGTTCAGCAGAATGTGATGCTTTGGTATGGGGATTTGGAAATGGTTTTTCTCCTTTAAAATTTGCTTTTTATTATTTAAAGCAAAACCAGTAAAACTATCTTTAAAAATAAAGTGGGGCGCATGTTAAGTTACTAGGAGATACATAGTGTTTACTGTTGCTGAAGCACTTTTTGCACACATGAAATACATCTCTGCATCATTTTTCCCTCTTTTACAGATGAGGAAATTAAGGTGCAAAAGGCTTGCTCAAAGCCATACAGTTAACAGTAACAAATCTTATTAAGAGTTCATTGCCATATATATAAAGCCTTAGGCATCCAGCTAGTAAGCTGTAGCAGAAATTTAAAAGCCAAATTCTTGAACTACAAATCATAATCACATCCACACTGATTTGAAGAATAGCGTGAGCCAAGGGTGAAACAGCAGCAGCTGGGTGACCTTGTACAATCTTTTATGGTCTCTGGGCCACTTTCTTCATTTTAAAAATGGAAAAGCTAAATACGTTCTAGCAGCTCTTATAACTTAAGCAATCTTTGATGCTGTCTCCATCCCTTTGAGGGGAAAAAAAAAAAGTCAAGAAATTTAGGAGGGAAAAAAAGGGGAAGACAATTATTCAAGACCCAGATATACAATCACATCATTAAAAAGGGATAATGGTTTTGGGCCATGCCTCTTCAGAAGAATCTTATATAGGGTAAGAAAGAATTAGGTAAATTGCATAAGGCCTCTAGTTCTCAACGGTTCACTTCATTTGAAGCTGGTATTTTGTTACAACTCCGTTTTACTACTTAAAGATGCTGAATCAATGGTCTGACCCTCAAGTGTGTCTCTTGTATGTAATGTACCCTATAGATATAAATATCTATACAAGTAGGCCAGGATTTCTGTAGGAGAGTGTATGCCTTAGCATTATTTGTAATCAACAAAAACTATTAACATTTAATGGGGTATTGTAGAAGGCTCCGTGGTTGTTAAAAAAAATGAGGGGGAGCTATTATATGGTGATACGATATATCCTGGAGTAAAAGCTTAAAGTAAGTATGGTGTGTCCATATGGTATGTTCACTTTTTTTTTTAAAAACTGCATGTATGCACAAAGGAGGTCAGAGAAAAGTCTCAGAGACCTATTAACGGTGGCCATCTCTAAATCTTAAGTTAAAGGACTTTTAGTTTTTACATTTCTGTATTTGAATTTTTTAAAAAAGTTAAGCACCTTAACTCTGTAATTAAAAAGACGAAAATAAGGGGCTCCACTCAGTTGGTGGAGCATGTGACTCTTGATCTTGAGATTGCGAGCTGGCACTCCACACTGGGTGTAGAGATTACTTAAAAATAACATCTTAAAAAAAAGGCAAAAATATAACATCTATACAACAATTTTCGATATTGATATAAATTACAGGTACAGAGACTGACAAATGACCAAATATTTGCTATGGAAACAATAGCAGAAATAGAGAAGTGGCTTTTCTTCTGATTATACATTTTTAAAAACAAAAGGTAGTAAAGGAAGATGATATGACTCAAATATGCTAATATTTTATAAACATTAAATAAAGATGTCTTATTTAAAAATTAAAACCTAGATCTTTCTGGCTAGGGAGAAAATCTATAGTTTTTCCTTGGAATTACAATTTTTTCCTATGCATCGAAGCCAATTCCAAAGAGGGAATCGAACATTTGCAGTAGTGAGGAAAAACATTCTTTAGCATAAGACTGAATGGTTCCAAAAGAGGACTAAATAGGATTTTATCAGTATAATATAAAAATTGGGCTAAACACAGGATAAAAAAGGCGAAGAAAGATTAAGTCTAAGCGCCTGTCAGAGTTTAGGATTTAGAAAGCCACACCACACTATTCTAGCATTTGAGGGAGATCCGGCTTACGATTTTGGAGCATCTGCATGATGTGTTCCTTGATCATTGGCAGCACCAGCTTCCCACCAAGTCCACAGGCCATTCGGTCCAGGGCGCTCTCCCCAGCAACCGCATTGCTGCACACAGACCAGAGAATGCATTCACCTCAGTCAACAGACCCAAGAACAGTGCACTGTACACATGTACATCTAAACACAATATCACATTAAACTAAGGCTGAGAAAGACCAATTCAAGCAGTCTTCCGAATGTATGAAGTTATGGGTTAAAAATCCAGAGTTAAAGGGGGAAGGCACGTAACATTTTCATGACTCATTCACCATGGTGTAAGAAGTCCTATGTCTCAATCTTAATTTTCAAGACTTTGTTCTTTCTCTTCCTCTCCCTGCACACACCCCTCACTGGCTAACACTCAAGCTTTGATGCTTTCAAGACTCAGAGATAGGAGCAGAGTGTTTAGGAGAGCCGTGTTATCTAATTTCCTGGACATACACCCTTCAAACTCAATGGACAAAACACAGAAAATTGAAAGCCATGCTGAGACTCTGGAGGATGTCTTCCTTGCTGTGAGCTTATTTACTTTTAAAGGGGTGCAAACTGCGTTGCCACAAATTATGTACAGGTGAAACTCGATTCCAGTGTTTTCACTGAAAACGGAAGAGACCTGGCCATAAGAGCCTTTTGCACTGTCTTGGAACCGCAACATTAGTAGTGAGTGTCTCACGTGCATGTGCATCATCTCAAACTGTCAGGAGGAGACTATAAAGAGGAAGCTGTAAATGATCTTTAGAATATATTCAAACGCATCTCGAAAATATACTTAAGACCTATTTACTCACAGATAAGAAAATTTTATTCATCTAGCCCAGAGAAAAATAGCTTCCTAAGTCATATAAATTAAGTGCCTTGTACAGGGAAAATTAAAAGCCAGGGAGCAGCACATTATAGTAAGTGAACCAGGGAAAGGAAACCCAATCTGTGCGTGGTCTTCCCTTCAGCCCCATGAAGTAACTTCCAGTGAAGGATTACTTTCATATACTTCAAAATGGCATTTAAGCCAGAGTAGTCATTTTTAATAATGGGACTAAGCTGCAAAACACACTGTATATTCTGTAAGTCAAATGTCTTTAATTTTACCTAATACCTGTTATAGTAGCTTATACTGACTACCAGTCTTTCAGGGGAATACTTTTGGTTCTTTAAGAAAGGCAGTAGTATAATGCACTGGGAAGAGTAAGAGAAATGGCATTAAACCTCAGTCTATAAAACCTGGACAAATCACTCAAACCCCCCTCTCCACTCCTGAATCTACCTAAGAATATACCTTCAGGACCACTGAAAGAATCCACGAAGATAAAAGAGCTCTGAAGTGCTGCGTCTCATACGCATGTAAGAAGAGGCCATCAACACCACTGGACAGTGATTTAGATTCTGGTGGAGTCTGCGATAGGAATCTCTGTACATGAGGGCCTCCCGAGTCTAAGTTAAAAAGTAGCTCCAGTGTCACCCCACCCTAGAGTACAAATCTTGCCACCACTGTCTCCTCTCTAGTCTAATGTTAACTTTTGCGAAATTGGGAATACAGGGCATTTTGCAGGGAACTGTGTGGAAACAACTATTATTAAGTGAGGTCTATGCATATAAAGAAATTTTTCACAATAAAGCTTTTTTATACATATTTTAAGATACTCATACTAAAAAAATCTTGAAAATTTAGAGTAAAATGGAGTAGAAAAGGTATCTATTTTATTAAAAATAAATTATTTACAAAATTTGACACAGAAAGCCAAAGTGTCAGGTGTCTGGGTGGCTCAGTCAGTTAAGCGTCTGCTTTCAGCTCAGGTCGTGATCCCGGAGTCCCAGGATAGAGTCCTGCATTGGGCTCCCTGCTCACTGGAGAGTCTGCTTCTCCCTCCGACCCTCCCCTCTCTTGTGCTTTCTCTCTCAAATAAATAAAATCTTAAAAAAACAACAACAAAAAAACAATGAAAGAAAGCTAAGGTGTCCCAGTTTCCAAACTTAGAAGTTTAACTTTAGATTACAGAATACAGTGGTGAGAGACAGGCCCTAGAATCCCAAACTCTCGCTGCCACCCGAGCTCATGTCATTCCGCCAAGGGAGCCTCCAACAAAGTGTCTGGCATGCGCGATTACCTGTCAAAGTCATCATCTTCCAGCTCATCTGCATTTGCCCAGTCCTCATCCTCTTCAAGGTCAACCATCATTGCTAACATCTGAGGAACTAAAGCAAATCATCACTTCATACCTGCATACTGTGGCTTTTTAATTTTTATCAATATCACCATTTATTAACAAGAATTTTAAGAAGTAAAAAACAAAGGATTTACTTTGCCTCTAAGACAAAAATTATTTGCCTGTTCCCCCAACATCTGGTTTGTTAAATTTTAACCTTTTTGCCATATTTGCTTTAGATCTTGTTCTGTTTAAGAAGTAACATTAAAGATAAAAGTCAAACTTCCCAGATCCTATTATATGCTCTCCTTTACTCACCAGAGGTGAGCACTGCATAAAATCGATGCTTTTTATTCCCAAGTGTTTTTACACTTGAACTATAGATTTCTCTGTATACAAAACATAGTACTATATTAAGATTTTAATTTTTACACAATTAATGGTACCATACTACACATGTATCCTTTGGCAATTTGCTTTCTTCTCAACACACATGGATTTCAACTTAATTACTCCACAGCATTCTATTACATAAACACACTACCCTACTGATGGGACATTTTAGTTGTTTCTAATTTTCTCCCTATTACAAAATTTCCTTTGATGAGATTCCTACCCACATATCCTTGACAAGTATGAGTTCAGGGCATGAAAATGTTACAGGTATCTTCAATATTACTAAGAAAGACTAACTGTTCTGCACAGTGGATGCATAAACGTGTACTGCTCCAGGAAGTTTGAAGACAGACCTGTCTTACTTCTCGACCATGTGTGAAATGCCCTGAAGCTATAGGAGGCCTCTGCTTCACACCTTTCACCAACACTTGATAACCGTTGAACTTTATGGCAACTCGATTCCACAACTGCACTGGTGTTTACTGACGCTGAGCAGCCCTCATTAGCTCCTTCTGATTCCTCCCTTGCGAATTCACTTTTAAAAATGAGGTGTTTAATCAACCCCAAATTGGTTTTTATAGGGTATCTGAGGTTGGGATATATTTTTGCCACGGAAATGACCTTTGGTCAATCATCTATCTTTTAAAGTCAGCTTTGTTTCCGTGTGAGTGGATCTGCTCATAGATCCCTCTGTTTCCTATGATCCATTTGTCTACACCTTTACCACCAACAATTTCTAAATCTTCATAGCTGAGAAGGCAAGATCTCCACTTTGCTTGTCAAAATTGTCTTTGCGGGGCGCCTGGGCGGCTCAGTTGGTTAAGCGACTGCCTTCGGCTCAGGTCATGATCCTGGAGTCCCGGGATCGAGTCCTGCATC